CTAACGCTGAACTAATATACGCATTTGAGCCGATTTAATTTCATTGAGTTGGTTCAGCTTTTAAGTTAGTAGTATTCATAGTTTTGTCGCTGCGCTAACCGCATACGAAGCAGCTTTTGCTCATTATAAATATATACACATACACGCGTTATGCTTACAAAATATTTATTTACAAAAAAGCAAAAATTATAGTCGCTGCTCATTGCAACGAATTTAAAGTGGTATTAAAAAAAAATATTCTATAATTTTTTTCCACAAAAAAAACCAAAATCCACCTGAACCAATGTATTTACCAATATTCAAACAAGTAAACTCTGAATTAAATCCATATACGCCGCATTGTATGTAAATAATTTCCGTATCAAATTACATTTTCCTAAAATTTAAGCTTCCAGTATTTACCCTCGTAGTGACCCGCTTCGTTTGCATTCGCCGTTGCTGCCTCTAATAGAATTTTAACATTTACTTAGCATATTTTTAGGCATTGCAACGCTATGTTGGTGGTAATCAATATTTTTCGCCCAAACGATATTCCTGCACTTCTCAACACCGTCCCTCTCCCTCCCAAAAAACCAACGAAAATTCATTTAAATTGCTGTTTGCTTTCAGGCGCATATTTTTCGCTGTGATTTTAATTATTGAATTAGCGAAAAATTAGTAAATCAAAGTTTACTATTTACCATTTGGTGTTTATATTTTAATATTTGCAAAAATCAGTGTGTCCCATATTATATATATTAATGCAGCTGTATAAATAGGTAAGGGGGGAACTGGGTTAATGAAGCGCTAACAGAGCGTGTGATTGGGTCAGTTGGTGCGCGAAAATGCACTTAATGTGGATGGTTATATAATTTGGTGAATTAGTTTTCCAATGACCAGTAGCAAATGAAATTGAGAATTATTTGCCAATTAAACTTTTAATATATTTCCAAGAATTATGCAGTTTGGCAAATGAAAAAAAGAGCCAAAAATGCCACGCGTGGGTATGCAAATTTATTTTCTAGCTGATTGTGCGCTATTTGCTCGATGGCGGTTCTGTGTAAATTTGCCTGCAATTAGTTAATGCGTGGGAAATCGAATAAAATTCGTGTTTGGAATTTGACTGCTTTTTTCGAATTCATAAAATGAATGAATTAGAAAATTTTAAAATTAATTTCTAATATGGAGTCCTAAGAAATTTTGTACATTTTGTGTACTTCACACTACAAACGTGGATTTTATTAATATTGAGAAAGTCAGAGATAGAGAGTTGTGCTGTTACTTAAATACTTCATCCTTTAATTGGTAGGTAGCTTTGAACTAATCAGCTTACTGCCGACATACTTTTTTCCTCCTTAATTGAGTATTATGATTCCCTAGCTTCAACAAGGAAATTGTGCTAGATGAATAAATAGATAAACGCCCAGATATGTCAGACCAAGAGCCACTGCGATCAGACATCCTTGTCTTCCCAAGAGCCGACTCTCCTATAACACCTATTCGGTGCATATGAAAACGTAGTTGGTTGTGGCCGTTAGGTGTATGGAGATTAGCCTGATTTCATTTTTGTTTAATGGAATTACATCCGGTCTATTGAAAGAGTAGCTATGGCCCTCACCGCCCCCAGTTCTTACTGCGTTCAGGGTGTACCATTTCAGCAATTATTGAGCTACCTAGACCTCAGAATGATGCCAGTCCTAAGAAGGAAGTTAATAATCCTTCTTACGCCAGACCATCAGTGACCTCGTTGCCTTCGATCTAACAGTGTCAGGGCAGTTGCTGCCACCATTTAAAGGGTGTTTAACAAGTTTGAATTTCATCACGCTGTTTGAGAGGGCCTGGAGGGCTACTTGGCTATATGAAAAGATAACCAGAGAGGCGCCCTTAAAACTCTTTTCAAGGTTTAATTTGGCAATGGTTAAAACTGCTGAAACTGCAGCCTGAAACACCGTTGCCCATCCATCCACGGGAATTGCTGGATTCATGCCAGGTCCGCAGACAGCTGCACCTTTTCTTTCATCCATCGTCAAACTGTCCCTGTACCAATGTACGTATCTGAGGCCAAGTAAAGTTGTCCGTTTGCCCGATATTCGCGATCTGCCACCTTCACTTGGAACTTTATGCCAAAGCATATCTTTTTGGTTATGAAGCCAGAAACTCTAAAATTTTCAAAATCTGATATCTTTCCGGGAATACCTGCGTGGAGCTTCTTTTTTATAGAAGCAGCCGTTATATAGTCGAAATTGTTACTCCTTTTGGCTGCTTTTTACTAAAAATATATGAAGCGGGGTCCACCCTAGAAACACTTGAGAGCCACCGTTGGGCAGGTCCTTGTCTATGCAGTGGCGGAAAGATGCGTGATTCTTTGTAATTTATTGAGCCGCAGTATGGCAGTTTTTTGCAGAGTCTTCTGCCACAATACCACGACATGCGTACGATACAATTGTTCGGACGATCATGCGGTAAAGTCGCTCAATCAGCTTTGAGTTCAGTCCTCATGTTCTTCAAAAAAGTCTTCAACAGGCCAACATGGCCCATGTGGCTTTAACAAGGGGTTTTTTTTTCTAGATGTGGGCTTTCAATTCAATCTCTAATTTAGCGTAATCTCTAGAGACTTGACCTCATCAGAGTCTTGAAGCACGGTCCCTCCAAGAGTGACAGCGGCGCCAGTGTTGACAGTCGTATTTATTTTCTAGTCTGAAAAAAAGCATTGACAGCAAAAATTCATCCCAGTATGGAAAAATTCATCCGAAGTTTGAGGTTTATTCGCTTAAATACAGCCACCCGAGTAGCCTCATAAAAATGGTATCCCTTCTATGGGAAATTATGCGTCTGAGAATCCTCTGTTGAAATGAAGCGTATCCATGACCCTTTGAATTGTCAGATGCCTGCAGTTGTTTTGTTATAGCGATGGAGATGAATGTATATCCAAATAAGGGAGTCCAGATTGTTTAAAAAGAAAAGAGGCATAAAGAAAATCGCAAATTTTTGTATCTATAAAATTCATGAAATCAGCTTCAAAAACCTATTCAGCCTTATCATGAGTTTCATTTTCCCCGAACCGGTTCACTTTTCACTCTTGGTTTCCATGGTTTTACTATGGGCGGATGACAAATTTTCGGGTGGATTTTTTTTCAGGCGAAACTCGGGATAAGGCAGATTATTTTAAAAATTAGATCTTGGTATAACATAGTTTTTAAAACCAAACCAGCTGGCACAGTGGAGAAAGGACTGACGTGCTTTGTTGGACTCGGCCAAAATTGCTTAGGCGGCTATAGCGCGAATTAAGAAGAAGATGTGAACCCATATTTTTACCTGCAACGTTTTTTTTCAAGTTATCATTGCATACTTTTAGGAAGTTCATAAAATTAATTACAAAGATGAATGTACTAATGCTATGGGGTTCTTCCCCATCTCCGTTGCATCAGTGGTATTTAGTCTCCATTTTTATTACTCCAACGCTAAGGCGGATAGATATCGAAATTGCAATTGACTGGCAATATTTTAATTAAACTTATACGAAATGTTAAGCAACTTAATGGCCTCATTTTGATTTTGTCAAATTACTACGAAAATTGCGGAAATACGCAACAGCAAGTAAACGATAAACTACAAATCGATTGGCTATAATCGCCAAATCGAAAATTGTTGTTGCGTGATCATTGCAAAAAATGTAACTAATCACGCGTGCGTTTTACAAATGTCGCACAATTTAACGCTTATGCCATAAATGTAGTTGTTGTTTTTTTTCCGAACCGTGACTGCACTGAGTTTTGTTGTGACAACATTAACTATTTATTGTAATTTACATTTACGACTTTGTATTGCTTTGCTACGAGTATTGTATGCGAATTGGTTCATTGTGGCATGCAGGCATTTTTGTCGTTACAGGAGTCTGTATGTGTGTGTGTGTGTGTGTGTTCAATGCGGTTTTTCATTGCTGAAAATACATTTACATGCTGGCCGCGAGTGATTGGATTAGCTTTGATGCGTTGAAAGATCAATGTTTGGCATTGCATACATTGTGGCGTGCAAATTAAATTCACACAAAAAAGTGTTTGAAAATTATTTTGTTTTAAAATTTAGGCGATGTACATTAGGGTGGTCCTTAAATGTATTAAGTACATTATTACATCAGATTTCCTAAACGTCAACCCCCACATCGATGCTAATATAGTCAAAGATATCACACTAAAATTTTGGTCCCGATTGGAGACGGTTTAGGCGTGTCCCATAGGGGAATCTGAGTCTCCATAGGGGAATCTGAACTTTGACCCCTGTGCGACACGCCTTAACCGACTCCAATCGGGACTAAAATTTATATGTGATATCTTTGATCGTTGTATTAGCGACTGAGGGGGTGAGACTTAAAATTTCATTTTTAAGGGCCACCCTAATGTACATCCATACTTTCAATTTAATGCAAAATTATTTGTCGAAAACTAATTTTGGAAATTCTCTATATATGCATTTTTTGGTAAAATTCATGTTGCTGACGTCATTGAAATAACAGCAATTTGAACACTTTGCGTGTTGGTATTTTCCGAAAAACCCACTCAAAACCACTTAATGACTCTTCCGCTCGAACTACGTTCGCCTTTAATAATACACATACATACTTATTTAATGCATTTTTGTTGTTGCGGTTTTTATTTGTTTGATGTGGAGATTTTTGTAATTTCAAATAGTCAATAAAATTCCATTGTGTATCCTGTTGATTCAACTAATCAGCGCTGTAATAACGCTGTGGTGCAACATCTACGCTTAGCTTTGCTATGTCCTAAGTAGATCTTTAAAAATACGAGTACTTACATTTGTAAAAGTATTTGATAAATACAATAGTGCCGAATTTGAAGAGCGTTGTGTGCGTTTACAAATATTTATGTTTTGCTTGTGTGTATTTACAAAATTGTGCAGTTTGAGTTCATATTTTTTTTTGTTGCTTTTTTGTTTTATATATTTTTTCTATTGCTAGGTTTTCTAAGCTTACCACATACATATATAAAAAGTTTAATATCAGTTGCTTTGTTGCTGTTGTTGGTTTTGGTTTTTGTTATTTTCTCCTTATTTGATTTAATTAATTAGCTAAATCCTGTATGATGTCCGCTGAAATGAGATTGAAAAAAATAAATGAAAGAAAAATTAAGATTAATTAATGTTGCTCATTGGATAGAAAATCGATTTTTTTTTTTAATGTGAAGAAAAATGATGGTATATTTTCATGAGTGGAAAATTTAACACACGCGAGCTTTATGCCAAGCAAGTTGCTTTGTTTTATTTAATGGAACAGAGTGGTGGTGTCTATAAAAATTCTGCCATAAATAACGTCCATAATTTCCCCTCAAAATAGTACCTACTTGTTTTGGAGTACCCAGATCCTAGGTCTTGGGGACGAAGAAACACTTGGAAAGTACGATTCCTCATATCTGAGCCTTCAATAAACCGACAAGGAAAAGATTATTGCACACTAAACAATTTGAAATGATGGATCAGAAACTGAGAAATGCTGTTGTGGTGTCATTGGCTGGCTCTAATCTACGCTCGTAGATTTTTAACAGGTGGCAACCCTCGTCAAAAATATTTCAAACTTAAACCATCTCAAATATATTTCGTCTGACTTTGTGATACATATTTCAATTAACTGCTGAATTAAGTTGAATTTGATTTTGCAAATACGTGGCAGCCCTCCTAAATATATAAGTCAGAAATAAAGCCTTTTCAAACCCATTTCGAAATCCCTTCACATAATATACATATGTATACATATATGTATATTTCAGGGACCATGAACAAAAGGTATGATAGAAACTAAATGTCGTTATCGTAGGTTTGCTCACAAGAACGCTTCAAAATCAAAACCGAAAGGAGAACAAAACAGTCGAGAACGTTCTCAATTGGGATAAAATATATAAGAACCCTGTGAACCGTTTTGCAAAGAACAAAACGGTAACAAAAGTCTAAGGAACTTTCTCTCGAAGAACAATTTAGGAACTAAAATCTCAAAAACTGTCTAACGGGGAGCGAAACGGGAACAAATCCTTTTTCATAGCGTTCCATTCGTTTCAAATGTTTGAATATTAAAATTAATCAAAAAAGAACCGAAAGATAATTATGCAAATAAAGGCAATCAAAGACTTAAGCTACGAACTTTTCTTGTACAGAATATTATTCCACAAATTAAAAATGATGGTTCTCACTGAAACAATTTTTTATCCCAACACGCAGACGCCCCTCTCGTTCTTAACGTAGAGTCCTCAAAACTTTTCTTCTCGCTTTGTTTTCTAGTAGAACGTTCCCCCAAACTTTTATTCTTATTTGAACCACCTTGAAAACGTTCTCGCTACTTTCGTGCTTAATTTGTTTTCACTGGAAACGTTCCCGAAAGTTTTGTTCTTATTATTTTTTTATTGAGAATGTTCCCCCGAGAGTTTTGTTCCCAATTGGTTCATTACGGAAATGTTTCCGAACCTTTTGTTCTCATTTCGATCCCTTTCAAACTGATCTCAGTACTTTTGCTCCCGTTTGGCTCTTTTGTGGGAATGTTATTGATATTACATTTTGTTCGCGTGCAGAACTAAACCAACCCAGAGCTTGAAAGGTGATTAGGTTTGCGTTCATACTGAAATATGGCAAAAGCTTTAAAATCTCTCAAGGATTTCGGACTTAAAATCTTTGAAGAGGCATCCACATTGAGGGGGTTTTTAACAATACAATTTTGCCGGATATCGTCAAATTCCCTGGTAAGTTTGCGGTCAAAATCGACTCAATTAAATAGAGTCCAAGTTTTGCGGCAGCGCTGTCACAGCGGAGTGGTGCTGTGCCCCCATCCAGCGTAGGGTTAACAAGGACTCGCAATAGTGTAGCAGTCTCTCTCCCTCTACCTTTGAAGTGTGGCTTTAGACGACCTACTAGAGGAGCTGCAGGACGATTGCCTAAACATGTGACGTTGCACTTTTAGCGAGGGTAAATTTCTGGATACTTCCCCCCCGAAGGCACTTGAATATGGTGAATAAGTGATTTTGTATTCAGCGACGTAAATGGTATTTTGAAAACACAACTAATCCTAGTAATAGTAAGCCGGCCCAGGTCGGTAGGGCACAAAGCGACTAAAGTTCAGCTTCGTTATTTGGATCTAAGGACTAAAGAGCAGTGGCCTTGTACCTTCGACAAGAGAGGGTTGATTGTCTAAAGTCGATAGCTAATCCAGAAAAATTTGTGTGTTGATAAACGTTGCATAAAACCTATAATAAATGAGGAAAACATGATTTATTTAAAAAATGAGAATACAACAAAGGTATCTTCATAGTCACAGACAAACATCTAAAAATATGAAAAACAAATGCAATTACCGTTGCACTTCCACAGCATCAAGCAGCTGAACGCACAAAAAGCAAATGAAGATGAGTAGAAGATGAGTTTAGAATGAGCACAGCAAAGTCACACTTCAACTATTCTTCACTGCCAAACGAGTTAGAAGCATAAAATCGCTTCAAAGGCGTTAAACGATGCAAAGAAATATGGTTGAAGGATGTAGATAAAAGAACGAGAACGGAAGCGTACAAAACAAAAAAAGAAGGTGTGAAATATGTGCAGTGTGAAGAAGGGGTGTGGGCTGCAGGGAAGAAAAAGTGCACATAAATCAACCGAAGACGCGTCGTCCATTGCAGCAATTTCGATGAAAGCTTCAAGTTAGTGGGGGGAGGGGCGAAAAAGAGCATGAAAATAAAATGCAAAGAAAAGTAGGCAGCGGAGGGTTCCATGCAGTTTCGCTATGCATTAGTGTGTGGCAACTATACCGTACTGATGCGAGTATGTAGGGAAGTTTAGTAGACTTTTTGGGGCAATTCATGACATAGTTGCGATCAAAAGAGTGGAATTCGTCCACGTTGCTTAATGGTCTAGTCACCAAACTATAGAAATTCAATTATCTTGGTATCAATTTCCACAACTCTTCAATTCATAATATTTGTCCACAGATTATTTTATATTAAATCTGATTTCAAAACTATATAATTTAAATAAATTCGTCTCGTCAACTTTTGTAAAAATAAATAAAAAAGTTGTCATCAAAATTGCAAACTTTTTAATCCGAAGTTTTAGTGTTTTGGTAGTGTATGGAAAAGTAAACAGACAGTGTTTAGTTTTGCACACACTAGGAAAGGAAACAGGTTACCTCTCTTTATATGCATAAATTTAGCAAAATTTTTTTTACAGGAAATGTTAAACATTTTTTGTGTAAACTGTGAAATTGTGAACAATAAATGTTTAGAACTCAAAAAACAAATTTGAAATTTGTTCTACGCCATACATATGATAATGAAGAGTAAACAAGCAGTGTTTAATTTAATTAACACGGTGTGTAAATTTGCAGGAAACTGGTTACCCATCTTAATATATGCAAATTTAAACAATAATTTTTTAGAGTGTAGTCTAAATTAGTTGGTAGTATAGTCTAGGCCAAAATAAAAGCCTAGGCTGAGCTAGTAGATCCTAGTATGAATATTTACACATCAGGGCGCTTAAAAAAACCCTCATCAGTCCAACTTCGGTTACGTGCCCTAAGCATACTGGTATGACCACCTGCAACATAATCATCCACACACATACGAAATTGAATGTCTGTTCCACCTAAACCATCACAGTTAAGCCATCAGTTTTCAAAAAAGTCTCAAGGCTTGACTGTCTATGTTGGACTGAAGACGATTTCAGATAAGCCTTTTCTCCAATTTTGTGAGGATCATTCATTCTTTCGCTTCCGCTTCCCTCTGAATCTTGGCTGCTAAGTATGTAACTGTGTGCGAGTAAATCTTTGTATGTAAATGCTAGCTGAAGCATTTGTGGCTCATTCAACAAATCGCATAAATTTGAACAGCTTGTCGTATTTGAGCGCAGCTCAGCTCGACTCAACGCTGCGCTTGTACACAGAACGCAAGTAAATATGTACATTTATACATATATCAGCGTACACGCCAGGCTTTATGCGATTATGCACTGAGTATCTCGCCAACTGATTTCACTGCCTGCCTTTGTGCCTTTGAATGGTTGCACGCGTTGCTACACAAAAAATAGTTTATGGTGCTCACCCACCGCCTTGCGCTTGCCACCTTATCCTGAATTTGTACTCAGTTTTTGAATAGTTGAAAGCAACAGCGAAATCGCATAGCAATACACTGAGAATTTGTTATTTACCTACTTGCTTGACGTTGTTGTTGTTGTTGCTGCTCTTGCAACTGCTTTTCCACGGGTGCTGCATTAAGGCGGCATACATGTATATTTACGTTTGAATGTATGCATTTAGATTTGGAAATATGTATTTTTGCATTAATATTCGCTTGAAGAAGTGTTGAAGTGGATTTGCTTTTGTTGTTATTATTACTTACTGTACGCATATTTCTGTATGTTTACATGCGGTTGCCCACATTTGTAGCTTCGTGTCATATTTTGCAACATTCGCACGATTTTTCACCGACAACCCGCCCCCACAGCCGCAAGCGCCCACACACCGCCCAAAAGTAATGAGTATGCGTGAAATTGTATGCAAGTATTTGCATATATTTATGCATATTTGTCTCCTTTCATTTGTTTTATTGGTTGTGTGAAAGCCGCGCGCGAGTCGCGCCGTAAACGTATTTACTGTGAACCGCAACATTTTCTACAACTTTTTGTTTTAATATCCACAATTTTCTCACCGCATCGGAACCACAAACCAGCTGCCCCGCATACTCTTGCTGTCTCATTATAACTAAATACATTCATAATTGCAAAAGAAACACTGTAATTAAAAAAAATGTAAATTTCATTAATGCAAAGTGTTTTCTGGTCAACACTTTTCTGTTTCCTGTTTTGCGATTTCCTCCTCTTGCTAGTTGCTTTTACATCTGCGCCTCGCTCCTTGGCTATATCTGCCATGGAGTCAATGAATATTTATTTGTATAAAAGGGGTCAAAAGCACGCGTTTCGTTTTGAGGTTTTTGAAAATTTGAAGCGAAATTTGTAGCCGCTTTGCATACTTGATCCGTTGAGTTGTCACACAAATTTGTAATTTTTGAAAGGTAAAACGTTCAAATAAATACGCTAGACATCGTTGAAAGCTACAGGGTTTCTCC